CGTATTAAAGCAACTTAAAGAAGTCCAGACGCTTTTCTCTCCAAGCTCGTTAACTATGATGACCTGGATGACTGAGAAACTTCACAGACAGATAGGAGACAATCTTGAAACACTTCAACATGCAACTCCTTTCTTGTCTTTTCATTCAGCTGGATATTAAACAAAACAAAACTGCATCCATCTCCTTTCTATCTAGTTTTGTCTTGTAACATACAACATGTAGGATTTTGGAACAGGTTAAAGACAGAAATACACCTCAAATGCTGTAATTAATAGCAGCTTTTAAACCACTTCATATTTTATTTGCACACTCGACTCTAATTTAATTTCATTGTTTTGACATTTCATGGCCTGCCTCTTGCATTTGTATCTGTCTCTTTTCCTTCTTTCTCTTTTTAACACAGAGGAAGTTGTCTGTGTGTCCTGTTCAAATCCATGAAGTCATCTCTGTGCAGTTTGGACATCCTCACAGCTACATTTCTTCTTCAAATCATCACATTCAAAAAAAAGTTGTAACCAGTGAATTTTTAGTGTTTTGTTTTATAGCTGACCTCTTCTGGACATTTCCACTTTGTTTTTATCCTGAGAGCTCTTTTCTTCTTTCTTAAAGTTTATGCCTTTCATTCAATTTGTGAAAAAGACATAACAACAGTAAAAAAAACACACACACACATACAAAAGAATGTATTCATCTGTATCTACAAAATTTATAGAATACACCAGCGTTTAAACCACTTATTTTCTTTGCACATTTGACCTTGATTTGATGACATACACTTTTGAAACTTTTGCTGAGCAAACCTTGCTCAGATTTGGTTCATTCGATTTGGACTTTAGTTTTAACATTTAATTAACAATTAAAACGCTAAACATGTATTAACTTTCAAGTTTGACCATCACATTTGTTTTCCTCATGCTGATCTACAAGCTCACATTTTTATGGTTCAATTTGTCTGGCAAATAAGTAAAAGCTTACTGTCCATTTTGTACAACTTTGACATTAGTAACGTAATTTTTATAATGTAGACAATGTTTAATAATTAATTATTTTATAATATAGATAAAAAAGATTGTACTTACAGAGCAGGCAAAGCAAAGTTGTTTGTATCATCGTATCATTTAGTCATATGAGGTTCAGACTTTTTCTTACAACAGTTAAGCCCACCTCCTTCCTCTTTGAGCGTTACAGTACAGTGTGGTTTCCTCTCACCACTACTTGAGGTGCACAGTGGGAAAATTATAAGAATATCGATACAGTTTTCAAGAATGTTGCTATTCTATAGGAAAGACAAAGAATCTGAACCACTGAGATAAAAGGAGAAAAGATGGAGATGCAATTAACGGAAGCAAGTAAGCGAAAGTCTAAGTGATTTAGCAGATTCAACTGTCATTTTGGCCCTGACCTTTAGTCAGGTTGTTAGTCAGGCAGCAGTTCTTGAAAACCAGAACTTTAAAAAAAGTATTTTACATGCCAAAAAACATTTGTTTACAGGTTCTTTCCTACAATTTCACTTCTTGTTTACATTTTTGAAATACAATACAATACCTTTAGTAAAATGTCTACCAGAAACACAGTTTTCTGTCATTTTGCCACCATGTATGTAACAGATTAAGATCAAATTGTGGCACATTTAGGCAAACATATTTGTTATGGCCTGTCATGGGGTAACTGTGCCCTCTAGAGGACTAATACTGCACATGGCCTAAAAAATACCAGAATGCCAATTTCTATTGTTTAATTAGAAATTATTTCGTGAGCAAAATAGAGTTGTGGGTTGGGCTAATGTTGCCGTATCTGCACCATTCCTTCATAAGTTTGTTTTAAGGCTAATGATGGCCGATATGACACAGATGCAAGCTTCAAGCTCGATGTAAAAAAATTTCTGAACCACTCAAACCTTGCTTCAGTGAGAAAAACACGCGCGTGACCAGTCGGTCCCCTGACTGATCCTATGGCTAATCCAAAGCAGTGGGTACTGCTACACAATGCAAGATGCTTTGTAACGTGAGGTTTGTTGGCATGTGAAATATATATATAATATATATAGCTATATAGCCGATCTCTGTCTAACATCATATTCATGTAGTAAGCTGCAAAAGCATCGAAGATCCTATTATTATTATCATATTGAGATACAGCAATAAATTCTGATAGATATTGTGTATCTAGCATTCCATCATAAACTCCCTCTTGTCTGATATTGTCAGAAATTCACACTCAGAGGAGTGCAGGCAGCTGGGGAGCACAGAATCAGACATATAGAGGAAGCAAAACTGAACACAATGAACACAGGGTGAGAGATAAAACAGGAAGTATGACAAACATGCAGACGGAGATATGAGGACAACAAAATGGGGAGACAGAGACGGAATACGGATTATGGAGACAAGAGTAACTAAATGAGAAACGCTGAACACACTGCACCGTAAGAGAAACTAAAGACTAGAATCTGTAAATATAACATGAGTAGAAAACAACTAAGAGAAGCTGAACCACAAATGACACTAAATCAAAGAATATTAATCCATTCATTCTCTTTCACTTATTCTTTTCAAATTTAGGATCTGGAGCAGCAAATGGACGAACTTTGGACAAACTGCCCAAAATGGGTTGACAGAGACAGTTCAGGGATTTTGTCCAGATGGATTAATTGCATTAAAATTTTTAATCGTGATGTTGGCGTTAGCGTTGACAGCCCTACTTTGTACGTTTGTTTTTTATTTATTTTTATTTTGCGACCTGGTTATTAGGTGCTGATCCAGCCAGAGAATCCCCCGCCATCCCGCCCGTCTACTCCAGTAAGCAGCAAGCGCACCTCCTAAATGGAGGGCACCCTTACTCCTTGTAAATGGCCAATAGAAAACCGTTCGGTGCCTATGCAATCCCTATAATGTGCTGGCATGGTGTCGGGGCTGCATGGGTGCAAACAACTTCTTTTTTGCCGATGCCATGATGCCGCGCCCACCACAATGCCACCCTGCGCAACTGCCCCTGTCAAAACCCGCTAATGACAACGTTGGACTCGTGCCTAATAAGCAAGTAAATGTTGCAGAAAAGACACAATAAGAAACTGCTCTCAAGGTGCACTGTAGGATAAAGCTGTGCAGGAAATGCGATTCTATCATTGTGGAAGCAAGGAGGAAATTCAAGGAAAATTCAAGAAAATATTTTTTAAACGTGAAGTGTAGTTTTGGTCTTCTTTTTTTTTTTCTTTTGCTTCTGGTTCAGTGAATTTTGGTTGGAGAGTGACAAAACCTGCAGTTTCAACAGGTTGATTGTTTATTGCTTAAGATGGATGGCCAAATGGGAACTTTTCATCCTTATGAAAAATTGTAAAACTTGTGAAAATACTGTTAATAGTTCATAATGACAGTTTGTGCTTGTTTGTGATGAACAGTAAAAGTTAAGAATTATAAATGACTTCAAGCGCACATTCAAGCCTGTGAGACTCATTTAGATACTAAGACACACTGATCCCAGTATGACTTTGCATGTGATTGGCCAAATGGTGCACTAAACAGGAACGTTTCTCCTAAAATAATCTCTTGCCACCCCTAGTTTTGCATATCAAAATATTGTTTATTAAACTAAGCTGGCATTAATCATTTGTGCCTTGCTACAATTAATACTGAATATATTGCACAGTGTTACCACCCTCAACCATTAAAAAATGGTTCGGCCCATAGTGCTTTATTTCTTGCTGTCAGTAGTTGCTATGTAGCTGCTAAAACGCCACCAAAACACCAAAGTCTCCAGGTGGAGCGGGGTGGAGCGGTGGAATGATACACCCACTGCTGTCAGGCCTGCAGGGTTTCGGCTTGTAGTGTTCTCCTCTTTTTGTGGAAGACAAACAATGTTTTGTTTTGTTTTTTCTGGCAAATCAATTGTTTAGCATCTTTTTGTGACACCCGATTGTTCTCAGAATTTTAGTTTTAGTAGTATTTTTTTTAAATCTATGCGCAAAAAACACGAAGGGCATTGGCTGCTTTTTTAGGTAACTAGTTGTATATAACTGTTGACAAAATTTGTGCATAAGTTTTTAAAACTGACAATTTATATTTGCATTTTAACTTATGGAAATTCTTACTAGAATTTTATGTTCAATGTCAATATAGAATTAAGAAACTTGATGTTAAGCAGAAAATAATGATACCAAAGGCAAAGAAAAAAAAGAAAAGTGAAATACAAAGGAAAAATCAAAATTAGTCAAAATGACCAATTATGCTCTGGACCCCAGAAGAACCCAACAAATCATGAAAAGGTTTAAATTAGGTTTAAATTATTGGTGAAAAATCATTCATAAACCACCCCATGTTGTGTAGCTTTCTTAAGTACTTATGTATTATATAGACAGTACATAAAATCCAAATTCACATTTTATGTAACTGAAATGTTTAATTATGTGGGCTAAAGAAAATAAAGTTATAGACTATGTAATGTATGTTTGCACTGATTGCCGATCACACTTCAACTGAGTCGTCCTCGGTCAGAAGGAATGGTACTCCACAGTGATGTAGTTCAAATAACTTTAATAAGGAGGTGGCAGATGACATCACCAGGATGTAAAGCGTTGGTAGGGAGGCATTACAGTATTCACATGCAGGTACAGGGGGTGTGAGTGTGTATATGGGTGTGTGTGGTCATATGGTAAGCATGCACACAGTATTAACTCACACAGGAGCGCAAGTAAATACGTTACTCCTCCGACACACCTCTCATCTGTGCAGACCTGCGCTGAACACGTTCCCAACCGGAAGTACAGATACCGAGGTGCATCATGGGTAATGTAGTATGAAACAGTTACAGTGAACAAGCGGACTTTTAACAGACTATATGTAAACATGTGCATACTAACTGCATATGATTAATTTTAACCATATTTAATGCATCTTTGATTTTCATACCACCCTCATGCCACCTTAAGAAAATTTCTGTAGATCCGCCCCTGGCACTAAAGTCAGGGGAGGGACTTTAGTGCCTCCCTTTCTTGTTGTTGTAATGTCGTGTAAGTAAGTTTGTTCTCTGTGCCATGGATTTAACAACTTTCCTCTGTTTTTTCTTTTCCACATATGTTTTGGGATTTGTTTCTGCTCTCGATGGTAAGCTGAACAGCACAAATATACGGAAACAAGTTTAAAAAAATTATATAGTAAAGATGTTTCACTGAAATCCCTTTTTTTCTGATCAAGCTGTGCTTTCTGTAGTATATTGACTGTTGTGCTCATAAGGAACTCAAATAACCTTTTCTATGATGTCTTCAAAATTTTCATCATAACCCACAGATCTCAGTAATTATTAAGATGAGTAAAACCAAATGTTAAATAAGTGCATGAGGAAAGGTGTCTGAATAAGCTTCTTTCCTCTCTCCTTTTGTAATGTACTTTCTCTTAATGACGGAAAATGGTTTATTTAGGGTTTTACAATGTTTTCTATTTCATTAAGTACTAGCAGTGTCTGCCTATTATTGTCATGCTTTTTTACCTCTACTACTTTCGATCCTTATCTACTGGATTGACAGAAATAACAAGTCTTTCCTGTTTGGGTTTTCCCCCTTCTGTTAACAAGGAACCTGTGTTTTGTTAGTACATGCTAAGCAAGCATTTGATCCGCTCTAAAGTAAACTTGGCAACTGATATGGTAATAATGTAATTTTAAAGGATTATGAACAGCCAGTCATTGCATTTCATTTGTAGATAAACATGGAAAAGTGTTGAAATTTGAATTAAGAACAACACTAACATGGAGGATATTAATATAGGTAGAGTTTATTATTTTACTATTGGTTCTTGGTAGAATGGATATATAAGATAAAACAAAAGAATGCAAATAAATCTACAAAGCACATTTTTAAATGTGGACTATGATGAAAGCTGACACAGAGAAAATGTGATTCAAGTTTAAATCTTTGAAGGTTGAGCAGCATAATATCACCGTCAAATTACATATATGGCTGAGAAATATATTTCTTCTGGAAAGAGAACGTTAAACTGTTCAAAGCGTCAAAGGCTCATGTGACAATAACTTCCTTTAAATATATATATTTTTTTCTTTTCTGTCTGGCTTAGACCAAAAACAAGTGGTAGAAGCTGGAGAGAATGCACTACTGTTGTGTCGCGATTCCAGTATTGGCAAAGTGGAAAAGTTATCATGGATCAGGAGTGATCTGGGAACCAATATGCACGTGTTCTTCTACCGAGAAAATCGCCTCTATGAAAACATTCAGCATCCATCCTTTCGTGGCCGAGTGAAGCTGAGTGATCCACAAATTAACAATGGAAATGTGTCCCTCATTCTCTTCAACACCACCCCTAATGACACTGGAACATATGAGTGTTATGTAGTAGGCACTCGTGAAGAACGCCGTAAGAGAGCAGTTTCTGAAGCCCAGCATGTAGTGCAGCTGAAAGTTAAATCTATAAGTAAGTTTGTAGAGTTCTTGGTCTCCTTTTTTGTATCTCAAAGGCATCTTAAGCCTAAGTTCAATCAAATCTAAACAATGAACCTTGTTTTGTTTTTTTAATAAAGCAAAAGCCATCATAACTTATAACCATTGTAAGAAGATCTGAAGCCTCTGTTTATATGATTTTAAATACGTTTTGTTTCTTTTTTCAAGTATCCTGTGATGTGTTTTTTATGTAAATTTAGTGATCAGTGGTGTTACAATTTACAAACAAAATAGAAACTAACACAAATTTCAAAGGTTACTTTGATCTTTCTGCTTCTCTAATATATTAATTTGTATTGATAGTAGATAATGTCTGACAGCACCTCACACTTGTTTCTCACCTGCAGGTCAGCCACAAGGACTCACAGGGGATGGATCTGTTGGACTGATGGTTGGTCTGTCAGTTTCTGCTGGGATTCTTCTTGCTGCTGTTGGTGGTTTTGTGATCTACAGAAAACTTGGAAATTCAAATGATCAGGAAACTGGAAAGATGACAAAGTTCAACCTCCTCTCCTATTAAATAGTGTAATACATGATTTCTGATTTTCAGTTGTCCTAAAACAGAGTTGACGCTAATGTTCTCTGTTGTTCTCTCAGCCCACTGAGAGGAAAAGCACATCTTTATTGTCTCAGCTATAGCCAAAAGTACTTAGTGGTGAAATAAGTTTCTCCCTTTGGCTGTCATTCTTCCCCTGATGTGACTGTCATTTTGCTCAACTTGTAAGTAATGTTATCTTGTAAGCTTTTCATTCTGAGAAATTAAAAGCTAATACCAGTTTTGTGCATTGGATTGTGGTGTACTATGACTTTCTTGCTGTTATCAATGAAATTAAAATTAAATTAAATTAAAAAAGAATCCTGCAACAACCTCTTTATATGGATTGTGTGTTTTTATTGTCTACAAGCCATGGTTTGGAACCTGCAATGCGTCCTGTCATAGAACCCTCCAACGCATAGTGAGAGCTGCAGAGAGGATCATTGGTGTCTCTCTCCCCTCCCTCCAGGACATTTACAGCACCCGTCTCACTAAAAAAGCCCTTTGCATAGCGGCTGATCCCACGCACCCAATGCAAAGCTTCTTCAAGC